CTGCCTCTGCCTCCCGAGTGCTGGGATTAAAGGCAAGCACCACCAATGCCCAGCCTGAATGGCAAGACTTTTAATGCAGAAGTAGAAGAGAGATTACAGCTGGATTCAGTCAGGCAGGGCATTGAAGATGTGTGTGAAACTACCCTGCCCCCATTCTGATGGTTTTCTTTGTGGAACACATGGCAACTTTTTAAATAGGACACTTATGTTAGCATGTTATGAATCTGTAATAAAACCACTTCACAAATGCTTTACAATTCTCAACTTTAACATGGAAACCATTATGCAATGAAAGCACATTTGTTGTCCCAAGATGTCTCAAAAGTGTAAGATGCTCTTTGTGGCCCACCGAGGCAGGCAATGTGTGTGACTAGGATTTGATCCGCCCTAGTTCTTTGCCCTAGTCTCTTTTCTCTCTGTTGTGTGGGTTGGGGATATTTCATTTCTCAGTCTTCACAGACACAAACTGTGCCTCTCGTCATCTTTAGGATTGAGTCAATCCACAGACATGTTTTCCACACGTTGTTGCCCATTCCATGTTTTAAAATTCTCATTTGACCCGGGCGGTGGTGGCACACGCCTTTAATCCCAGCACTCGGGAACCAGAGGCAGATGGATCTCTATGAGTTAGCCAGCCAAATATACAAGAGCTAGTTCCAGGTCAACCTCCAAAGCCACAGAGAAACCCTCTCTTGAAAAACCAAAAAAAATAAAAATAAAAAATAAAAAATTCTCATTTGATTTACTTTCATAAGTTCTGTTTATTGCCAAAGATTTTTCCCATTCTTAAAAAACATTGCAAGTGGCTTTGTGATTGTTGAAGTATTAAAACATGTAGGCTTTTTATTAATTCTTTGAAGATTTCATCCATGTATATAAGGCATTTTGATGATAATAATTTCCCACTCCTCCAGCTCCTCTCAGATCCACCCACTCCTCAACGTCATGCCTGTCCATAAACTCTTGAGTGTGGCCCTGGGGCATGGTTTGTCTACTAGGATCCACACCCTTAAATAAAACTGATTCTCTCCATCCAACATTCATCAACTGTCTATAGCTTCTCAACTAGGGATAGGGGCTTTTGAGCCCATTTTTCTCTCTCAGTGCTAGAATGATGACTGGTTCCACCTTGTGTAGGTCTCATGCCACCAAATAAACTGCCGTGAGTGCTGAAACAATTATTATTGTTAAGATTTTATTTATTTTTTGAGACATATTAACCAGTTTATTATAGGCCCAGCAGAGTAGGGAGACTTAAGAGAGAAGAGAAACAGGGTTAATGACTGACCGCCATGGCCAGTCGCCATAGAGAAAGAGAGAAGAGAAGCAGAAGCAAACAGAGAGAGAGCGTGAAGAAACAGAGACAAGATTTTATTTTTATTTTTAATTATGTGTATGTATCTGTATGTGAGCATATGCATGTGAGTTCCTGGTGTCTGTGGAGTCTGATTCCTCTGAAGCCGGAGTCATAGGTGGCTGTGGTTGCTGGGAACAGAGCTGGGTTCCTCTTCAAAACAGTATGCATGCTTAACTGCTGATCCATCTTTCTAGCCCACGTTAAGACACTTTTTAATGACTCTCCAATGTGTATACCAGGTAATTAAAGCTTCTCATTCATCTCAACATTGGTGTTTGTTATTGGCCTTTGATGGTTAACGGTATGATGGGCGATTCTTTTTTTTTTTTTTTTTTTTTTTTTTTTTTTTTTTTTTTTTTTGTGTATCCTGGGTATTGGTGTTTGTTAACCATCTCTTCCTAGTTTTAGCACCATGAGGTTATTCATTAAGCTTCTATTTCGACCACTTGTTGGGACAGCTTATCACCTTTCTACATTTAATAAACAGGTCTGGTCCCTTTCTGTGGGCTTTAGTGCCAATGGCAGTTTACTTTCACAAGTCCCAAGAATATTACTGTGCTCTGGTTTGTGCTTTGGTGCTCCTGTGACTTCAGTGAGGGGCATTTAAAAGTACTTCTCTGATGTTTCTGAGTGACCCGCTAGGTCACCCCATGAGACTGGTGATGCTGCTGGCTCAAGGGTGAGGAGACATAAGGCTTCTCTAGCATTGCTTCAGGACACATGGCATTGTGGGCATGTTTGGCACATCCAGGACTTTACTGTTTCTCCTTTTTGGACGGGTGGGATGGGTTGCCCTCCAGTGATCAGCCTCAGAGAAAAGTGTGGGAGGTCTTAGCTGCTGCTGAGTCCTGTTCCACCAGCACTGGGCCTGTGGGGCATAGGCTGAGAACATCTGGAACTGCATTGTGCTGCTTCTGCCTGCTGGGGCCAGGTGTTAGGACAAGGATAGTCCGGGGCTTCCACTGGGACTGTGCTGTGGGCTGGTCACATTTCATCTATCCTCACGAAGCTGAGCATGAACAAGATGTGGGCCCCAGCTATCACCTCTCCTGCCCTGCAGTGACCTACTTTCACCAAGGAGGCTCTCCCTCCTAAAGGTTCCATGACCTGGCTAAACAGCATTGCCAGCTGGGGATCAAGTGTTCATACCTGTGAGCTGATAGGGGATAGTTCATATTCAAGCCACAGTACCACACAAGATTGAGGATCAGATTTCAGATCTATAGCAGCCTAGCACCCGTGAGGCAGATACTGGCAAACACCTGATGCTCTTGAGCAAGCCAGCCTAGCCAAGTTGATGAGCTTGAGAGACCCTGCCTCAAAAAAATAGAGAATGGTAGATGAAGATGCCTGACATTGACCTCTGACCTCCAGATATGTACTCATGCAAGTGAGTGCACACCCTCTTTCACATGTGTACCACATGAACTTGTGGATACACCATATACAAACACAGACACAAAACAGCTATTAAAAATCTGAAAAGTAAAGGCTTTAAAAGAACTCAAAGTGCATAAATCTTTTCCTAGCTTTTCTTAAGCACTTTATATCATGCTTGTGTGATTTACAGGAATTATGCTGGAATATGAAAAAGGTGGAGAACTAAAGACCAAATCCATAGATTTGCTTGAGCTCAGTCCTAGGTAAGTTAGCCATGTACTGCAGTGTGTGTGTCATATCAGAACCATTCAGATGAACACCCCAAGGAGGATGGTTTTATGGCTGGGCTGAATAAGTTATTGAAAACACAAACGCCATCACTCTATTCTTTCTTTTTTTTTCTGAGCAGGACTTTTTAAAAATATGAACTGGTTAGTCTAGAATAGTTTTAGAAAAGTATTTAAGACAGAGTGGCCAGCTTTCCCTATTTAATGTCTTATGTTGGTTTGATGGAATTGTCACAACCAGCATACTAGTATTGATACATTATCATCAGTCGGGGTCCATACTGTACTCAGACTCTCTGAGGTTTACCCCATTTCCCTTTTTTGATCTAGGTCCCTAGCCAGGATCTGATAGGTCATCCAGTCCTCATGTCTTCATGCTTTAGAGCACCCAGGATTCAGAGTGTAGGGAACCCCATGCAAATCTCCACTTGTACAGGCAGAACCGGTGTGTAACACAGACCAGTAACATATCATTCAAAAAAACCACAAGCTTAGGTCTTGAACTTCCTTCTACCAGTTCTGCCTCCACTGGCCCAGAGGAGCACAATAATTACTTACACTTGTACTGTGCATCCAACTTCTGGGAATTCAAACTTAGGTCTTCATGCTTGTATAGTCCGAATCTTTACCCACCAAGCCATCTCCCCAGCTCAAATGAATTTACTTCTTGATGTTGTGAGCATAAGTGCAAATTTGACATGCAAGTGTTGTGGGGTAAATTTCAGTACTGATGTCAACACCCTAGTAGAAGAGATCCAGAAAGCGGAGCCTCTGATCACGGTGTCCAGGGCACAGCAAGTCAGACTCCTGGTCCAGCGGCTGCAGGAGAAACTCAGGCAGCATTGTGACCACAGCTTCTACCTGTTCAAGGTAAGGAGTGCTTAGGGCTACCAGGGCCACAGCAGCTACCTACTAAAAGCATGTGTAGGGACACCAGCAAGGACAATTTGGGAGTGTTATTGATTTCTCTTACAAGTAATATCTTAAAATATGTTATAGTTTTTTTTTTCTGTAAAAATACTTGCTTGTGACTGATCCAGCCCCCTGAACATGGATGTCAATGAGGAGGCCTCTGCACTCCAGGGAGCCTCTAGTAGTGGATTAATATTTTTCCCTGGTGTAAGAAGGGACTTTGAGAGCCCATCCCACGTGAAGGGTTACACTCTGGCCCTGGACACGTTGGGAAGGGCCCAGGCCCAGCACAGGAAGATTTGGTGGACTTTGCAGAGCCCCCATTGAGGGTCCTACCCTGCCTGGGGAGTGGTGGGTGGAGGGGGTGAGGGTAGTTTGGGGGGGGGAGGGAGAGGGAGAAGGGACTTACATGTGAAACAAGCTTGTTCTAGTTCGAAATACTAATTTCTTGAGATGTTCAATATGGATTTACAGTAAATTTATTTCCCGTTTTAATCAAATTACTAAAATCATCTACATTTGGCCAAGATTAACCTTCAGTGGGTATTTGTTGAAAGAATGGATGTAGTTCGAAATACTAATTTCTTGAGATGTTCAATATGGATTTACAGTAAATTTATTTCCCGTTTTAATCAAATTACTAAAATTATTTTCTAGTTATAGTACTTCCTTTTTTTGTTTTTTTTGAGACAGGGTTTCTCTGTGCAGCTTTGGAGCTTATCCTGGCACTCGATCTAGAGACCAGGCTGGCCTCCAACTCATAGAGATCCACCTGCCTCTGCCTCCTGAGTGCTGAGATTAAAGGCATGTGCCACTAACGCCCGGCAAGTTATAGTACTTCTAAGAAGTTGTATTTAATGATACATGAACATTCTTCATTTCTGCTTTATCAGTTATAGTACTTTAAGAAGTTGTATTTAATGATACATGAACATTCTTCATTTCTGCTTTATCATGAACTAAACTATAAACCATTGAATTATTGACCAAATGTGGTATAAATATTTTTTCTCTATGTTTCTGACTAAATTAAAAATATAACAAGTGTATCCGTGTTATTACTTAAGAACAGCTTTTCAAATTAAATTGAAAATTTGTTCTAAGATTGTTTCATGTTATACTGACTTTATTTTTATGTTTTAAAGTATTATAATAAATACTCTTTTATTTTGTATTCATTGGTTCTGCCTGATATAAATATGCAGACTCTCCTTGGTTCTCATCCATTTAAGTTCCCAGAAAATAAGGCTTAATATTCTTCCTACAGCAGGTGGCACTGTTCAATTACAAATGTAAGCTGTGTAACTAACTACCTTGACCTTGTGAGTTCTTATGCAAGGGAACATACTTGATAGCAAAAAAGGAAGCTATTAATAGTTGTACTCTGGAAGCAGACGTATCTGAAGCTGACTCACCCTTGCTAACCACTCAACCAATAGGTTACCCAATTACTATATTTATTCAATGAATATTCATTAAGCACCCACTAACTGATAGATAATATAGATGAGGCATTGCAACTTAAGAGAGTTTTAGGATTAGAAAAGTAACACTGCATTGTGAAATATATTTGAAACATGTTTAAGTTTTTTCTTAAGTACACTGGTTAAACATCTATAGAAAATCATATGGAGTATGTACAAGACAGTGCTACTAAAGAGTGCCATTGGAATTGTCTTCAGTAGCCATAATTTATCTCAACAGTAAATTGGTATTGATGAGAAGTGAAAAGCCAGTCACCTTTTGTGATTATGTATGGCTATTGAGAATACAGTTTGTTTTTTTCAAGGCACAATGCTGTTTTATTTCTAGTTTGTTTGACTATTGGATCTTGTCCATTTACTACATATGTCTAAGAATACATAGACTGTCACCATTTGTTTGAAGTTAAAATGGATAAACTTAATCCTGTGTGAGTCCAAAATAAATGGTGTTTCCTTCTGTTGAAGGTTCTCAGAGCACACATCTTGCCATTGACCAATGTGGCTCTCAACAAAGCAGGCTCGTGGTAAGATCCCCTTGTTCTTTTTAACTTTTAGCAATGAAAGGATGAACATTTCTGAGGGTTTTCAAGTAGTTCAGTTAGTTCCAGACCTACTATGCCCACCCATCTCTTGGATTTCCTGATCCTAATGACTACAGAGGAGAGATGTAATCTCTTGTGCCCAGGGCTATAGCCAGGGTTTTCTCTGTGTTTGTGTAATTTTGTGCGAGAGGCACTAGAAGGTGTCATCTAGTACTATAGCTGAGAATAAGAAGAAACAGAACAGTCTCTGGGTGGCTGCCTCTTTGCCTGGACTGTAGGAGCTGCTAATCAGGGGCAGTGCTGTGGCTGGTCAGGAATGCCTTGGTTCAGAGTGGGACTTTTCTCTCTAGCTCTGTTTTGGTGGACAGTGCTTAGAATCACCAAGGCCATGTTCAGGAAATGCTTCCATCACTTGGGATCTGAGGGTCTGGTTAGGAAAGTTGAGATAAGAGGATCATTTTGGTATAGAGGCACGCAAACATGCTTTATCACTCTGCCAGGATTGCTGTCATAAAAGAGTACAAACTAAATGGCTCTCAAACAGAACCATACTTTGATATGGTAGAATGTAGTGACAGAGGGTGTGTAGAGGGTAGGGGAAGAGAGGGTCAATGATGATGTCAGAAGTTATGATCCAAACAACCACAATGAAGTGTTTGGAGTTTCACCAAAGTCATAGAAGTCATTATATCACACACTTTAATTGTATAAGAATATGTACTATTGGAAGAGAGCTGGAAGATTTTCTTTTTATTTAGTAAGTTTTTAAGTCAAAGGTTTTGTTTGGAAACTGTCCTTTGTTTTGAATGTATGGTTTCCAGTACTAAAAGGCATACCAATGATTAAGAAAGGGGTTATTATCCAGTGGGGAAAAGAAACAAAAAACAAAACACAAAAACCAGGGAGGTATCTAGGAGCACAATGCCTGTCACTTTCACCATGCAACGTGCTCACATTTTCTACGTTAGCTTCATCACAGGAAGTTATGATCGGACATGCAAGGTGTGGGACACTGCATCTGGAGAGGAGCTGCACACCCTGGAGGGCCACAGGAACGTGGTTTATGCCATAGCCTTCAACAATCCTTACGGGTATGTTCATGTCATCCCTTCACTTCTTAGTCACTCACGTGTTCATCCCACCACCTACTGGGTGACGACAGGAAGAAGACAGGCTTGAAATTTATTGAGTTTCTGCTGTGCTCCTTGGGAACCTTTTCAAGGCTCTCTCAATGTTTACTGCCTTTGGGAACAGTTTTTAAAGAATTGGAAACTGAAGGGCCCTTCCCAGGAACACCGTGTGGAGAGGTAGCTGGAGGTCATCGGCAGCCATGCTGACCACGAGAAAGGACTCATTGATATACAGCATTGTGCTCGAGGCTCTGGGGAGTGTGACATGCTTCTGCTGCATAACATGGTTTCTTTCATTTTTAAGTGATCATTCAGTCTTTTGGAGCAGAAAAAATATGCTAAGTAGTAGAGAAAATATGCTGAGTAGTAGTGCCAAGAACAGCAGAGGCCCCCTTTCAGGCCAACCTCTGGTTCACTGACTCAGCACATTCAGAATGCCTTCTGTTTTCACCCGTTGCGTGTTTCCCATGCCCATGACACTGTGGTGCTTGTAGCCACAAAGCTACCCATCACTGTGTTTGACTCTTTCATGGTGAGAGTCTAAGCTTATCAAAGGGTTGTCGTATGTCCACAGACCTGTGCTTTCAACCATGCTTGTGGGAATTACTACTGAATCTAATTGCATAAATTGTCAAGATAATTAAAAAATATTACCTAAACTAATGAGGTGAGAAGGTGAAAAGAGAGTTGCTGTCTTCGGTGAAAGCAGTAGGGGAAATGTTTGAGAAAGTTCTTCCTAATGAAGTTGTGAGTAAGAGCCAATGGGTTTTTGTCCTTCCAGTGTATTTAAAGTCTTTACATTTCTCATCCTATTTAAAATCTTAAAATACGTGTTTAAATTTTTTATTTCAAATTTTAAAATTGAAATTACATATATATGTATGGTTTTATATATACATGAGATTACACACACACACACACACACATACACACACACACACACACACACACATTTTATATATACATGAGATTACACACACACACACACATACACACACACATACACACACACACACACACACACACACACACACACACACACACACAGATGCCACGGTGTGTATGTGGAGGTCAGAGGACAGTTCCCAGGATTCACTTCTTTCACCATGTAGAGGCAGACAGATGACTCTCACCTCAGCTTGGGCAGCAGGTACCTTTACTCACTGAACCGTCTCTCCAGCTCCTTCTCATCCCATTTAAAAGAAAACAAAGCTGGGATCTGTAGGGATTCAGTCAGATTTCTGTGACCCAGGTGCTTAATTTGCCTACCCTGGGCCAGTTTAGTGAGTTCAGAGACCTTGGCTCTCCATCACAAGAGTGCCACATGGGTGTATGTATTTGAGTAAAATTTCAAAAAAACTTGTTTGTCTTTCACAGTCAATCCCTTAAAATTACTTTTTCCATTACTGAAAATGGCTTGAGGATTCTGGTTTATTTACAATCTCACCATGATGTCAAGAACGAAACAGTAAATGGTTTAAGGGTTAAGAGGAAGAAACCAGGGAGATTCCTCCTGGTTTGGGTGTCTTAAGGTGACTCACATTAAGCCTGACCCTGAAGATGGGAGCTTGGTGAGGATACCAGGGTGAGGGACAGGATTAGCTTGGGCTTTTACATCAGTGATTCACCAGGGGCCCGGCAAGCCAGTCTGTCTCTGAAGTGACAGTTCCAGCAGAGGAATGCAAGACTGAGGTCAGCTTGCACTGTGGAGGCACACTACTATTCTGAAGGGCTCGACTGCTCATAGAGGCTTGTGAACACAGGAGTGGAACAGTGAAAGTGCTTTTGACAAGGATTGCTCTGGCAGACTGAAAGGGTCAAAGGGACCCGTGAGGAGGCAGGGGACCAGCTCCCACAAGGCATGGAGCCTTATTTGACAGAGTGGCAGAGAGAGACAATGGAGTCTATAAGATTGTTTGCACTTAGACTAGAAATTTTGCATCACAGTTAAAACAAACAACATGTGTGCTTCTTGTGTCATTATATCTTTTAAAACACAATCCCAACATAC